CTTTATTATCATAAAAACAAAAAGTTTTTTGAGAACGTCTGTTTTTTTGGGTTGGCAAAAGGATCAGCGGAAAGAGTATTCATTTAAAAAAAGTTTATTCTATAAACATATTCTTTATATTTTTAAATATATATGTATAAATTTTTGTAATATTTTGTTTGTTAGTTATTAAATTAGAAATATAATTAGAAATATAATTTATTCCAGTTTTTTTTGGACCAGACTGTATATACAATAAAAGATTAGCATTTATTGCCTGTTCTACTTTAAATAATAATAATATTTATTTGTATCTAATGTTCAATTAACTTATTAAATAATTTTTAAAAAAATTTTTTTATAAGACTTATTATTTAATATAACTTAATTTAAGTATTAATTAGTATTAATTTTTAAAATTGATTGAAAATTTAATTATAATAAAAAAATCTATTTGATAAAAAAGATTAATACTATATCAATATTTTTATTACCATCAAATGTCTAAATTCTAAATATTACTTTCAAACAGAAATTTATTAATAGACAAAAATTTTTTAAAAAAACATTTATCTTATAATTAATTTAAAAAAAATTGTGTATTACGATGTCAGGGGTAAGTTGTCAAGAATGAACCGAGAATTAACTGTTTTTAATCGAAAATCTTGAAATTATAAGTCAAAACTATGTTTAGGTCAGAAAACAGGATAATCAATGTATTTTCTTGCTAATACTAATAAATGAAATATCGACAAGCCTTGTTGATTGTTAAGTATATATATTAATCGATGACGCTCGAAAGAATTTTTTTAATCATCTGAAAACTTTTTAATAAGAATAATTTCAAGATGTTGAAGTTTTTACCGCAATCTTCAGGATACCTGCCATATTGGTTGTTATTCGTATCGGTTTTAGCAGTTTTCAATTCGGTTCAAAATTTTTTAACACTTTCTCTCACGAAACAAATTTACAATGCAAAACCCGAACAAGGTAAAAATCAAGACAGTTGGTTTCATGAAGTTCACAACCATCACTAATTACATCATTTGGAATTGTGAATGCTATAGTTACAGAATTGTCTTCACATAACTTTGCTAGTTGGACATTCACTTCAGCCATCGTACGTTTTTACGCAGCATATAATATTAACGAAAAATCGTATGTAAAAATATTCATCTTTACAATGCAGTTATACATGGTAATGCGTTACATAACTAAATATTGAAATTATTCTAGCATTTATCAGGCAGCTATTTGGACGTACGTAATTGCGTTTTCACATTTTGCTTCGGAATTTCTTTATTTTAGAAGTGCAAATATTGGAGCAGGATTATTATCTCCTGTTGTTGTTTCTTGTAAGTTCGAAATTTGAGATTCGCATCTTTTACTGTGTTTAACTTTGATTAATCATCACTTTCTATTATATATATACGTGCTTACTGAAGCCATCTCGTTGATATGGATGTTCACCAAATATAATCATTACGTTGGTGGTAAAAAGATAAAAAAACAATAGTATTTTTATCCCTCAACAAAAATCTCGAAGGTCCTTCAATTTACTAATATTGTTTACCAGAACGAAATACTTGGTTCCACTTTTGAAAAATGTACTGAGTAAACAGTAATAAACATGTTAAACATCTGTAACAAAATCATCAATTAAATATAAGAAGAACATACAGTACCTCTCCAAAACAAATATCAGTTAAATCTATCATATTTTCTTTTTGGTCATTAAAATCATTTGTTTGGTTTTTGAACAAACTTAATTCTTTGGAGCAGAGAATTTCGTTGTCGGCATCTTGATTGAACATTGGAATCTTGGAATCGTATCTTGGATAATAAAAAAAGGCACAGGAATAACGTTCATGCATTCCATCATTTACTACGCGATGTAGAGGTGAGATGTAAGTTCCACGCGAGAGAAGGGAGAGATAATCTCCACAGTTAACGATAATTGAGGCAGGTTTACTGGGAATATCCCACCATTGATCATTGTAAAATACTTGAAGACCTTGAGTGTCCTCTTGTTGAAGGACTAATGTTAGAAATCCCCAATCTTGTTATACGAGTCACGACATAACTATTAATATAATTGAAACATGGCATTCATATGCGCGAAAATATTTACTGACCTGTGTGCGGTGAACTTCCAATTTTCTCGTTTTCATTTGCATCCTGTTCCTTATTTTCATAAGGAAAATATCTAAACAATCTCATGAGGGAAATAGTTTCTCCTCCGCTGCAATGACTTTTCAATTCAATCCCCAGTGCCAGCTCTAAACCTTTTACCACCAAGGTGGCTAAATGGACCAGCAGATTGTAAAATCGTTTTAGAGATTCACGCCACTCTTCACCTAGTATTTGTCCCAAATTTCCCCATTCATTTGGTCCTTGCAAAGAATTAGTCGGATTTTCACTCGCATTCCATTCATATCCATATGAAAACGCTTCTTTAACCTCAAGTCGATGTGATCCGGATTCCGATCCGATCCCAACGTATCCACGAGTAAAACCTCCGGACTTTATCGGAATTGTATTTTTGACGGACTCCGGTAGGGCGAAGAATTTATGAGAGGATTCTAATATATTCTTTTGTTCTTCTAGTTTGAAGGAAGAAGAAGTAATATAAAAAACTCCATGTTTTGTGCAAGCTGATTTGATTTCTCGGGCAATTTTTTCCAAAATTTCTGGAGAAGAATTCTCTATGTTGTCTTCAAGGGGAGAAAGATCAATGACTGGAAGATCAATTGGTTGATATTCCATATTTCTACCACCGATACAGCTCAAGGATGATGTTTATATACAGGTTGTGCCATTTCCACCTAATTTGGTATGGGTATAATATTGATTCAAATTCTATCCCGCCTTATAACCAATTACAGTAGCAATATACTGTACAATTTTCGGTAAAATTATCATACAAATTATCATTACAGTATGACGTTAACAAAAATTCTTTTTTTTTCGTTTGTAAATTTTTAAGGAAACGTAATTATTATTATAAGTGATATTTTTTTAAAACATCTTTTAATAATTGAATTAAGTGTTGTAATAATATTTTACCAATAATTAATTAGGTAATTTAAATTTATTGTATTGAATAATAATTATTATTATTTCAAAAATTTAAATGCAAATTCAAACTTTTTATTTTTTTATTTTTTTTTTTAATCCCACAATCAGGTTGGTGTCGTTTATTTATTAAATCATAAAGAACCATCACACGCACGAGAAT